TATGTAGAGAGTAAGGAGACTGTAAGGTAGGGTATGTTGACACATCATGGGTTATGTAGAGAGTAAGGAGGCTGTAAGGCAAGGTATGTTGACACATCATGGATGATGTAGAGAGTAAAGAGGTTGTAAGACGAGGTATGTTGACACATCATGGGTTATGTAGAGAGTAAGGAGGCTGTAAGGCAAGATTTGTTGACACATCATGGGTTATGTAGAGAGTAATGAGGCTGTAAGGCAAGGTATGTTGACACATCATGGGTTATGTAGAGAGTAAGGAGGCTGTAAGGCAGGGTACGTTGACACATCATCGGTTATGTAGAGAGTAAGGAGGCTGTAAGGCAAGGTATGTTGACACATCATGGGTTATCTAGAGAGTAAAGAGGTTGTAAGGCGAGATATGTTGACACATCATGGGTTATGTAGAGAGTAAGGAGGCTGTAAGGCAAGGTATGTTGACACATCATGGGTTGTGTAGAGAGTAAGGGGACTGTAAGGCAGGGTATGTTGACACATCATGGGTAATGACGAGAGTAAGGAGGCTGTAAGGCAAGGTTTGTTGATACATCATGGGTTATGTAGAGAGTAAAGAGGATGTAAGGCGATGTATGTTGACACATAATGGGTTATGTAGAGAGTAAGAAGACTCTAAGGCGAGGTATGTTGACACATCATTGGTGATGTAGAGAGTAAAGCGGTTGTAAGGCGATGTATGTTGACACATCATGGGTTATGTAGAGAGTAAGGAGGCTGTAAGGCAAGGTTTGCTGACACATCATGGGTCATGTAGAGAGTAAGGGTGCTGTAAGGCGAGGTATGTTGACACATCATGGGTTATGTAGAGAGTAAGGAGGCTGTAAGGCAAGGTATGTTGACACATCATGGGTTATGTAGAGAGTAAGGAGACTGTAAGGCAAGGTATGTTGACACATCAAGGGTTATGTAGAGAGGAAGGAGACTGTTAGGCGAGGTATGTTGACACATCATGGGTTATGTAGAGAGTAAGGAGACTGTTAGGCGAGGTATGTTGACACATCATGGGTCATGTAGAGAGTAAGGAGGCTGTAAGGCAAGGTATGTTGACACATCATGGGTTATGTAGAGAGTAAGGAGACTGTAAGGCAGGTATGTTGACACATCAAGGGTTATGTAGAGAGGAAGGAGACTGTTAGGCGAGGTATGTTGACACATCATGGGTTATGTAGAGAGTAAGGAGACTGTTAGGCGAGGTATGTTGACACATCATGGGTCATGTAGAGAGTAAGGAGGCTGTAAGGCAAGGTATGTTGACACATCATGGGTTATGTAGAGAGTAAGGAGACTGTAAGGCAAGGTATGTTGACACATCATGGGTTATGTAGAGAGTAAGGAGACAACAAGGCAAGGTATGTTGACACATCATGGGTTATGTAGAGAGTAAGGAGACTGTTAGGCGAGGTATGTTGACACATCATGGGTCATGTAGAGAGTAAGGAGACTGTAAGGCATGGTATGCTGACACATCATGGGTTATGTAGAGAGTAAGGAGACTGTAAGGCAAGGTGTGTTGACACATCATGGGTCATGTAGAGAGTAAGGAGACTGTGAGGCGAGGTATGTTGACACATCATGGGTCATGTAGAGAGTAAGGAGACTGTAAGGCAAGGTATGTTGACACATCATGGGTCATGTAGAGAGTAAAGAGGTTGTAAGGCAAGGTATGTTGACACATCATTGGTCATGTAGAGAGTAAGGAGACTGTAAGGCAAGGTATGTTGACACATCATGGGTTATGTAGAGAGTAAGGAGACTGTAAGGCAGGGTATGTTTACACATCATGGGTTATGCAGGGATTATCACAGCGTTAGATAGTCAGAACTGATTTAGCACACGCCTATTATATATAGTAACGAATAATGAGTTTTTACTTGAAACGGAATCACGAAATATCTTGAAAAGGGCACCAAGGAATTTTTGTCATTACTGTATGTAATATTCCTTTTCTGCAGAATGGTGTGTTTTTACTTTTATAACAATGAGCACACATGCACCTATCTTCGTTAATTGATCATCGCGATATTTCGTGATTCTATGGCAAGTGGCGAGTACTGTCGTGGCATGCTCATGTCCGTTACGCAGAATATAACATGGAAGAACAGGTTTTAATAATCCCTGAGAGCCCAGAGCCATTCATGCCCACTTGTTTTATTATATCACCTATATGGTGACTGATACTGTTGACATTCCACACTATAGCAGTTATACAAAGAAGAGAAACTCAAGAACCAGATCCGGTGGCCTAGCTATCCTTGTTCATGTTGTTGAAGACTGTATAAACAGCTATAGTAGGCGCCTTCTAATAGGCCCTAAGTTACAGCAGAACAATATAGATTTAGGGCAAAGGTCAGATGTGTGTTGCAGTGCTTTGCGTTGTGTACTCTCCTTCCTGCCTAGTATGCTTTGCCTACATTTTCTGTAGGGCTCCTTGCCGGGATATAAATTCTAATCATAGGGGGAAAAACAAAACAGGAATGAAGTTTAACAGGGGGCAAACCTGAGTCTACAAAATCTTTCCTACTTCCTACTGATGATGTGACGCGGACCATGTGACCAAGAATACGGACACAATCAGTGAACACGTTCCTCAGGTGGCTTCCTCAATCATGGCTTCCGCCTTGCCGAGCATGCAAGGGGCGTGACATCGCCAGGGCAGGCATAAGCTTCTTCAAAAATGGTTTGGTTTGTTGTTTAACGCCGCACTCAGCAATATTCCAGCTATTTGAAGGTAGTCTGTAAATAATCGAGTCTGGACCAGACAATCCATTGATTGATGTCATGAGCATAAATCCACGCAAGTGGGATACGATGATATGCATCAACCAAGTAAATAATCGAGTCTGGACCAGACAATCCATTGACTGATGTCATGAGCATAAATCCACACAAGTGGGATACGATGATATGCATCAACCAAGTCAGCGAGCCTGACCACCCGATCCCGTTAATCGCTTTTTACGACAAGCATAGTCACCTTTTACGGCAAGCATGGGTTGCTGAAGACCTATTCTACCCCGGAATCTTCACGGGTCCGACAAAAATGACTACAGAGATAGGTACTACATGTACATGTATGTCAGCCGCCCAAATCCCCTTCATCTAACCCACCCGCTATATATTTCTAAATATTTTAATCTACCCCACAAAATCCCGAGCCCACAGGGGCTTGTAACGCACAATGTGTGTCCTAAGCATATGTAACCTTCCTGTTACCACAGGCAAAAATTGCAAGACAGTGACACCTCACAAAGTCTTCCTATTGAGCGACTGTCTTCAAAATGGCTAGCAGCTTGTTTTGGCGGTGATCAATAAAATATTACCTTTTCATTTGACCTGTGAAGATCCGGGGTAGAATAGGTCTTCAGCAACCCATACTTGCCGTAAAAGGCGACTTTGCTTGTCGTAAGTGGCGACTAACCGGATCGGGTGGTCAGGCTCGCTGACTTGGTAGATGCATGTCATCGTATCCCAATTGCGTGGATCGATGCTCATATCAATCACTGGATTGTCTGGTCCAGACTCGATTATTAACAGACCGCCGCCATATAGCTGGAATATTCCTGAGTGCGGCGTAAAACAACAAACCAAACCAAAACCTAAAACCTGTTACAACATGTCGCCCGCAGTGATATTGCTGAAGTATAAATAACTAAAACCCATTTTGTAGCTTACCTTTCTTCGGCACATGAAATAATAGCGACAGAGGCCATTTCGATAATCATACGAAATCTCTTCTGAAAGTCCATTGTACAATTCTGACTACATCATAAGCATATGTTCATGAATCGATATCAAATAGCGATGACACCAAGTGATCGCGAAAATGTGAGCGTATCCTGCCCTATCGGTGGCACCCGTCGTATACAGTGAGTGAGTGAGTGAGTTGGGTTTAACGCCGCTTTTAACAGTATTCCAGTTATATCACGGCGTGTCAGCTTAATGTGCGAGGAAAGCCCGAAGTGATGCAGGTCCCAGACGTTTACCACTTCGGTGAAACCCACGAGCACGGGTATGGTGCTGACAAACCTAGAAACATAATCGGGGCGAACCGGGATTCGAACCCACAATCATAGGTTTCTGGCATGCCCAAGGGACGCAACTCTGCCGTCATAGACACATTCAAGGGAAAGTCAACTGAACACAAAAACACGGAACATATGGTAAGTCAAAATAGGGAATTGCATCGGACATATTTTTCTCACTAATGCGTCAAAGTTGGACATACCCTCCACAAATCTTTGAAAGCTTTACTGAGGCCTTGAAAGATGTGACCCTGATCAAACAACTTTTGAGCATGACTTTTGAGCCGTATGTCGCTCAATGAAACAGATGAATGAAATGATGCTCACGAAATGCGTAATGCCATTATCTAAATAAAATACAAGTATATACGTTCCTTTCACACTAAACCCACACATACTCATAATATAGTACTGGTTAGAATTAATCTTCAGCAACCCATGCGTGTCGTAAGAGGCGACTAACGGGATCGGGCGGTCAGGATTGCTGACTTGGTTGATGCTTGTCATTGTATCTCAATTGCGTGGATCGATGCTCATGGTGTCAATCACTGGATTGTCTGGTCCAGACACCATCATTTACAGACCGCCGTCATATAGCTGGGATATTGCTGAGTGCGGCGTTAAACAACAAACAAACATAAAACAGTACGCTCCATCTGTTCAAGTCTAAACACTGAACTGGGTTGTTGCGGTAGTTGAGATACCATAGTTTCAGGTCCGCATTTGTAACAAGGTAAATGTCAAAGAGCTCGTACCTTCAATCACCAGCTAATTCCTTTGTAAATACCAAAATAACCATTCCCAAAACGCATTACCACCAAGCTCTCTGAAGGCTCCCCATACCTTAATCTATGTGCTGTACTAAACACACACGCTGTCGTGAGCCATTATGACCGGGCTCACTCTTGGTGTTGGTTTTGTGATGAAAGGCCATTTTCACACAACCTATAAACGCTGTAATTGCAGGGAGCGGTAACATGTCATTCCAAGCACACGGTTATTTCCTGTGTTCATAACAAGCATCTGGGACACTTTTCTTACAGGTCTGTAATGTTTACCATGTCGAACTAAAATACTTCACAGCGTAAAAAGTCAGATGTTTTTTTATGCGTTTCTCACTTAATTGAAAGCATTGCATTACCACCTTTTTGAAAATTGTTTTGGGAAGGTTTTCGGGTCGGAATTGGAAAGGTATCCGGAACGTTTCCGGAAAACGGAAGCCTCCAGCTGACGTTTCATGCTGTGAACCATAAAAACATGCACTCCACCAATCTTAATTGTGTAACACGTTGATAATATGTATGTGTATATTTGTCAACAAATATGTGAACATTTTCAAAAAGCAATTACTTCCTTAAGGTGTGTATGGGTGAGTAGGTTTTATATTTTACGCCGCTATCAGCAATATTCCAGCAATATTAACCGGGGGACACCAGAAATGGGCTTCACACATTGTACCCATGACGGAAATCGAACCCGGGTGTCTTGGGCGTGACAAGCGAACGTTCTTACCGCTAGGCTACCCCCCCCCCCCCCCCCCCCCCCCCCGGCGGTAATTAATTTTGACATTCTATCTTCCTTTACAGGTGGTGAGTGGTTGTACTTCAACGATGATAATACAGCAGGAATTCACCCTGAAGAAAAGTCTCTCCTATGGGTAAGATATATTTATGCATTTCACACATAAACACCAGAAGTGAGCGTACATTGTTGTTCATAAAGTATGTTAACGATTGTCGAAACATTCCACTGTACAGGGATCGGCTGGAGATAGAGAGAAAGAGTCACATAAGGTGATTAGATACAGATTATCAAACAAATCCCCGTTAGATACCGTTTCTATTAAGAGTGTATTGCAAAACGTATCTTATGAGCGAATTTGCACATTATCGAAATTGAACGTTGAGAGAAGACTTTGGTGGTGTAAGCTTTGCCTATGAATACAGCCTTCGTAGTTGATGTAGCTAACTGTTCTTCCAAGGTGCAACCTGGCAATAAGTGAGTGAGTGAGTTTGGTTTAACGCCGCTTTTAACAGTATTCCAGTTATATCACGGCGTGCCAGCTTAATGTGGGAGGAAAGCCCGAAGTGATGCAGGTCTCAGACGTTTATCTCTTCGGTGAAACCCACGAGCACGGGTATGGTGCTTTCACACCTAGAAACATAATCGGGGCGAACCTGGATTCGAACCCACATTTAAAGGTTTCTGGCGTGCCCAAGGGACGCAACTCTGCACCGCGAATCGCGGCACGCTAGACGCCTAGGCCACCCGTGCACCCTGGCAATAATGCCCAGATTTCTTCGAGACGATTTTACTTAACGATGAATGCGGGCTCTAAAATAATATTCACGATGACATCTACATAAACAAACATCACAAAGTTAAAAATGTTTGCATGCAACGGACAATCTAGCTTCAAACTCGGTTCAGTGGAGTGGGAGAGTGGAGCCCGTGGGTCGAGTCATGGCATGTTGGCTATGTGATTTCATACGAGTCAGGAGATGGTTCATATATTATGAAATTGGTTCTTATTACCCATAAGCCACACGGAAGCTCACGAAAGATTCACAAAGCCAAAGTGCATCGGTTGTCACGAGGACATATCTGACGACTGTTCACTTGGTCCAAGGAGCGCTACTCTCATTTACAACACTAAGTTCAAGGTCGTAAGTAGACGTGGCGATGAATGCTTTCAACACACTGCTTTGTCTTTCTTAGCGATTCTCTGAAGCTTATTATACCACGATGTTTGCACAACAACAATACAAAAGTGAGAGTCTGTATACTCTTTTGCAAACGTATTTGTTGCCGAGTTCTTCGATAGATCACAGGCACCTTGAAAAGCACCAGTAAAATAAATTCAAAATATGTCAACCTTACAGTTTTTAAATACATTCGTAGGGAAAGAAATAGCGGTGTCCATCGTAGAGTAGAGAAGAGGTTGCAGAGCACAGTTGAACAGTGCAACCACACACCCATTGGAATGACAAGCTGGTCAAAAATAGTCCCGTCCGTACGTGATGTCATCACCCAATTTGTAATAAAGGTGTATTGTTATTAAACGGGTGATCTCTTCAAGGGATGAGTATTAATAAATATTACTCTATATACTGTACCACAAAAGAAAGGTCACTCGTTACTTTGGACCATGGTATCATGGTCGATTGTTAAGCAGCGTTTTGGCGACCCATTATATCCATAATTGGGTCACCTTTCGGCCGTTAACATCACATTTGGGTACAGACTAATGTCAAAAACAAGATACCTAACAACATGCATTGGTAATTCAATGGGAATCTTGAAGATTCCGGAGTAGAATAGGTCTTCAGCAACCCATGCTTGCCATAAAATGTGACTATGCTTGTCGTAAGAAGCGACTAACGGGATCAGGTGGTCAAGCTCGCTGACTTGGTTGATGCATGTCATCGATCCCAATTGCGTGGATCGATGCTCATGATATTAATCACTGGATTGTCTGGTCCAGACTTGATTATTTACAGACCGCCGTCATATAGCTGGAATATTGCTGAGTGCGGCGTTAAACAACAAACCAACCAACCAATGGGAAACTTTCTTTACGTAACGTTTCTTTTCATGTCCAGTATATTATGCTTGTTTATTTGTTTGTTGTTTAACGCCACAATCAGCTATAATCCAGCTTTGGGACATCGGTCTGTAAATAATCGAGTCTGGACCAGACAATCCAGTGATTGATATCATGCGCATCGATCCACGCAATTGGGATACAAGGACATGCACCACAACCAAGTCAGCGAGCCTGACCACCCGATCCCGTTAATCGCCTCTTACGACAAGCATGGGTTGCTGAAGACCTATTCCAACCCGAATTTGTTTGTACGCCAGTAGTCAACAATATTCGATATTTATCATGGGGTACTGTTAATAGTCGAGGTTGTACCTGCCAAATTATGATTATTAATATCCCACCCCGTGGGGATTCGATGGCACACAGTCGGCCATATATCAGAGTTTGACAGCCGATCTCCATTTTAGACGGCGCGTGTGAGGTTACTGGGAACATCAGATACCTCAGGGATTCGACCCGTGAAGATCCGGAGTAGAATAGGTCTTCAACAACCCATGCTTGCCGTAACAGGCGACTATGCTTGTCGTAGAAAGCGACTAGCGGGATCGGGTGGTCAGGCTCGCTCACATTGTTGATGCATGTCGTCGATCCCAGTTGCGTGGATCGATGCGCATGATATTAATCACTGGATTGTCTGGTCCATACTCGATTATTTACAGACCGCCGTGATATAGCTGGAATATTGCTGAGTGCGGCGTTAAACAACAAACCAACCAAACAACCTCAGGGATTCCAGGCTAGAAAAGATTCACAGTCACCAAACTTTTTCTCAAAATGTGACTAAATAGATCGGTCGGTTAGGCTCAGTGACTGCATGGCATCATGCCCCGATTGAGTAGACCGTTGCTCAATCATTGGTTTTTCTTGTCTTGACTCGGGGGCGGTCGGGTAGCCTAGTGGTTAGAGCGTTCGCTCGACACGCCGAAGACCCGGGTTCGATTCCCGACATGGGTACAATGTGTGAAGCCCATTTCTGGTGTCCCCCGCCGTGATATTGCTGGAATATTGCTAAAAGCGGCGTAAAACCATACTCACTCACTCACTCACTTGTCTTGACTCGAACGAGGACAGTGTTGACTATTGCGTTGAACCTACTTTCCTTTGATTCGAGGATGTCGTTCTTCTGCTTCAGATTGATCTGCAAAGTGGTGACCATCGTTGTCACAATTGGATTAATAGTCACCTTCAACAGCAGGAGTGCCATACACAGAGGAGTCTCATACAACATCCCCCCGTTCACAAGACAATGTCTCTGCAGACAAAGGATTGGAGAACCCTCTTTGAGCACACCTACGACCTCTCACACGGGAACCCTGAATTCTTCTGAAATCCACCATATCGCTTTCTTAAAGGTTCACAAATGTGCCAGTTCCACAATGATGAACATGTTTTATAGGTTCGGCCGCAAAAGAAACCTTACATTTGTCCTTCCAATTAAGGGTGAAAACTATTTAAATCTTACAAAAGAAAGGGGTTTTCTCTCAGTGGTTCCTCCAGCCGCCATGTCTGGATATGACATCCTTTGTAACCATGTGTCTAGGTTTGACAAACAAGCCTTCTCCCGCTTACTACCACCAGACACAAAATATATTGCCATTGTGCGAGACCCTCTACAAAGGCTAAATTCGGCGCTTCACTATTACAAGAGTGCCCTGACCAACGTAGGCTTGACGACGGAGAAAGGGAAAGACCCATTTCAAACGTATCTGAAAAACCCTGAATACTATGAAACAGCATGGGGAGTCGGTTCATTTACAAATAACAAAATGGCGAGGGACTTTGGCTTCCCTTTCAAAGATTACAGGAACATTACAAAGTTCAAGGCTTATCTCCCAACGCTCAAGAAACAGTTCCACTTTGTTGCTATCGTTGAAATGTTCCCTGAATCTCTAGTGCTTATGCGTAGATTGTTGAAATGGCCAATGGAAGATATATTATTTTTGACCATCAATGTTAACCAAAACAAACCTACAGCAATTGGAGATATTTCTGAAAAGCTGAAACCTTTTCTTGCCCTTGATGTTTTGTTGTATGATTACTTCCTAGCAGATTTTAAAAGACGAATCACGTCAGAAGGACAAGACTTCGAAGAGGAGCTAAAATACTTTAAAAGCATTAACACCAAGACTACTGAGTTTTGCAAGAGTAATTTGCCAGCCCAAAAGCTGTCGTTTGTGGCCAGTGAGTGGCATGGTGACTTCAGTGTCACACGGGGCGATTGTGACCTACTAGGAAAACCCGGGAGACCATTTTTGAACTTAATGCGGGCGATTCAAAATAACAGAATAAATAAATACGGAGCAAATGTAAGTTTATTCTTATGAAGAAGGTTAAATAGCACTGGCACAGAATTAGGGTACCAACATTCAACAAATCAAGGTTATGTGCTTGTTTCACACAAGGAGAACTGGTTAGGGAAATTTCTGACTTAACACCTTCCGTTCCGATCAAAAATTCTGCGTCCAGGAACTTCAAAATCTATTTAATAAATTTACACTTCCCGATCCTTCACCATGGGAACGTATATATCGACATTAATAATTGGACCGTAAATATTGGTACTGCGTCTTGTGCTCGCATTTGATAGAACTTATGGTTTCTGATTTGTTGAATTGCCTTTTATGAAATAGTCTTGAAAGTCTTCGTAAGCTGGCTTTCAGCAACGGTAACTGTGTCATTATACTGCACCAACTGTCAAGGAGAAGCATTGGCTAAAGGATTTTGCCCTCTGTGAGGGAGCGGTATCAAATAGATACTACAGACAACTATGTAATTTGGTTGTTATTAATATATGTATGAAATTGATTGTTTTAGTCATACCACTATGACGGAACACGGATTCCGTTTTATCATATCATGACGTTATATTATTAAGACAATCTGTAACAGTTTGTAGTTCTTCGTAGCTCCAAATATAAATTAAATATTAAATAAGAAGGGACGGTATTACTCAAATTGTTCTGAGATCATAAATGAAAGGTTTTGGTTTGTGAATGAGTGCTTTTAATTAAATACCTGACTTGTATAACAAGATTCTGTGGTGTGTAAGGGGCAGATGGTAGCCCAGTGGTTAAAGCCCTCGCTCATCCCGCCGAAGGCTCGGGTTCGATATCCCACATTGGTACTCTGTTTGAAGCCTATTCCTAGTGTTCTCCGCCGTGATGTTGCTGGAATATTGCTCAAACGGTGGTAACCAACTTCATTCACTCACTCACTCACTCGACCGCCTCCGTGGTCTAGTGGTAGAGCGTCCGCCCGGAGAGCGGAAGTCCGGGGTTCGATCCCCGGCCACGTCATACCAAAAGACGTTAAAAGATGGTACTTGTTGTTACCCTGTATGGCGCTCGGCATTAAGGGGCTAAAACAAGGAGTCAGCATACTGTGTCTGAGTGGGGTATTCATGTCATGTTAAGCTGCGGCATGGTATCTCAGTGAGCTAGCACTATAAATCGGCATCAGTCCGGACTAGTACAAGCAGCCACACAAACACACACACGTACATGCACGTCGCTATATAAGTGCAATAATCTTGGACGCGACGTTAAACCCCATTTCACCTCACCTCACTCTCTCACTCACTCACTCACTCACTGTATTGTTGTGGCAGAGTGTTGCCTACATCTTGCCATCTGTTATTATTTTAGCGAAAGGGGTATGTTTTGAACGTTTTATTGATAATTAAGGATACATTTAATGGTTTATATATTAATTAATTAAGTATATCAGATCGTTAATTAGTGATAATAAAGTACAAAGCTACGTGAAATCAAATTCACCCACTAACACCTAATAAAATAAAGTAAATATCTTTTCAGGATTGTATGCTGAAAAACTATTTAAACACAATATGTTGACAAAGCAACAATTCAGTCCAAAAGGTATATATATTGTGTTAATTTGGCAGTAATATGTTTAAATTTGTTATGTTTGATGCTACGATAAATTGAGTTTATAATATGGAGCGACAATTTAATGCAGATGGAACAGTTATTTTCAAGCAGTTTCTTTGCGTATATTGCACAATGAAGACGATGATTTTTGAGGACGGTGCTAGCTTAACGAGTGAGTGAGTTTGGTTTAACGCCGCTTTTAACATTATTCCAGTTATATCACGACGTGTCAGCTTAATGTGGGAGGAAAGCCCGAAGTGATGCAGGTCTCAGACGTTTACCACTTCGGTGAAACTCACGAGCACGGGTATGGTGCTGACAAACCTAGAAACATAATCGGGGCGAACCGGGATTCGAACCCACAATCATAGGTTTCTGGCGTGCCCAAGTGACACAACCCTGCACAGCCAATCGCGGCGCCTTAGACGACTAGGCCATCCGTGTCCCCACTATCTTACGAACCAGAAATGTAGTCATTAAAGAATTATAACAAAACCAGTCTGGTGAAAATACCTCCTCCGTGGTCTAGTGGATAGGGCGTTTACTCGGAGAGCCATGGGGCGGTGGTTCGATCCGAGGCCGTTGGTTGGCTCAGTACAATGTATCTGAGAGGGGGTATCCATGTCAGACTGCAGCACTACAAAAGCGAAAGAAGTCCGGAGCCGCATACACGTGCATGCACATAGATATATCAGTACAATAATCTTGAACGCAACGTTCACCACCAGTATGTTCAGTATAAAGCTTCATTATATGAACGGAAGTGTAGTCAAGCAATGAGCTCATGGCGCCAACAGCAGCCATATTAGTCGCATACAGAAATATAAAGAAACATCGCCGAAACTGAAAATAAAGATTTCATTAAGTGAGTGAGCGAATGTATTTTAAGGCCGCACTCAGCAATATTTAGTATGTCAGCTGTGTGTGTGTAGCTACTTGTACCAGTCCGGACTGATGCCGATTTATAGTACTAGCCCACTGATATACCATGCCGCAGATTAACATGAATACCCCACTCAGACACAGTATACTGACTCCGAGCCGATCAGTCCTTGTTTTATCCCCTTAATGGTGAGCCAGACAGGGTAACAACAAGTATCATATTTCGTTTTCCGAGCGGACGCTGTACCACTAGACCACGGAGGCGGTCCATTAGTGAATGAATGAGTGAGTGAGTTAAGATTTAACGTCACATCGGCAGTATTTTAGCCGTATCGTGACGTGAATAAAACACGAACAACGATCCACTGGTTGACCAGGCCCAAACACGACCATTTCTCCCTTTTATCCCTGGTACAGTAAGTGTAAAGAAATATATAACTTCCAATATAATTGGTGTCTTCTCGTGACGTTAAATGGTCGGGCGTCCAATTCTAAAACATGGACCGCATTGGCAATAGCTAACGTCCGTAGAAACATGGGTCAAATTAACGGAAAAGTTACGGCCTGCGTCGCCTGTTTAGAGTATTTGGTCAGTCGCCCCGAAGGAATTGCGGGTTAGAATAGGTACCCAGTAACCTATGCTAGTCGTAAGAGGTGTGAGACCAGTGAAGATCCGGGGTAGAATAGGTCTTCGGCAACCCACGCTTGCCGTAAAAGGCGACTTTGCTTGTCGTAAAAGGCGATTAACGGGATCAGGTGGTCAGGCTCGCTAGCTTGGTTGATGCATGACATCGATACCAATTGCGTGGATCGATGCTCATGATGTCAATCACAGGATTGTCTGGTCCAGACTCGATTATTTACAGACCGTCGTCATATAGCTGGAATATTGCTGAGTGCGGCGTAAAACAACAAACAAACAAACCATAAGAGGTGTGACAAAATGCATCTGGTGGTCAGGTGACTTTGGTGAAGGCGCATCCCGTTACGGTACCCCGACCCAGTTCGCTCAAATTCAAAATCTGATGGCAGGATACAGGATAGATATGTCTGTCACACCGAAAGAAGATGTTTGTAACTTGTGAATTCTTGATGATAGTTCGTTACATGTCACTAGCAGGGTAGTCGGGATTCTACGAGTTGAACGGTTTTTAGTGTGCAAAACGTGACCGTTATGAAGAGAGGCCCTCGAACAAGTAGATTATTATGAAGTGTTTTAAATTGTTCTCTCGTTACAACACTGTGATCTCTAGAAAATCCTACCTGAGTGTCTTTTTCACATCAAATGTATCAACACGAGTTGCGAATCTGTTTTGCTACTTTAATCGACTCATGTTGAAATATCTGATATCAATAGTGAGTGAGTACGCCGCTTTTAGCAATATTCCAGCAATATCACGACGGGGGACACCAGAAATGGGCTTCACACATTGTACCCATGTCGGGAATCGAACCCGGGTTTCGGTGCGACGAGCGAACGCTTTAACCACTAGGCTACCCGACCGCCCCTGATATCAATAGACGTGTGTGAAGAACTTGATTCATTATTGTTCCAGATCATCCTGAATAATGAATTACGATGAGTGTTTTTATTGAACATAAACTTAATGTTATTTACATGCTTTTAATTTGAACATAAAGTATAATATATTGACATATATATTTTTTATTCTAATAAATAAAACATTTTGTGCCTGAGATATTTTATTTGCATTTACGAAAACTTTCAGTATCTACTACCTATATAATTACTACGGTCCAAAATTATAAATGCCAATTAAAACGAATAAAAATGAGTTGCAATACTCCATTGCCCAGAGTTCCTTGCTTTTCGTCCCATCTTACACTGTCCGTTCCACAATTACATATGTTTATCATCCAGTTCAGTTTTATAAAAGTCTGCAATGGTCTAGACGGGTTGTAGGGTCCTACGTTGAAACATCGAACCGGTTTTGCAAGTTAACGATAAATCACGTTCTCAGGGAACTAATGTTTGAATATGGTGGTAACTGGCCATGTCATTTGAAACAGCCGCCTTTTCCCGGGCATATTTGTTCCGGTTCGTTACCGTCTGACAGTTGCAGTTCTTCGCGCCTCTTGCCTTGATTGACAGGTCCTATGAAGTTAGTTTTGATTCTACTTTTCGTTGATTTGCTACTAACTTTGTGGGCGTGTCAATTTATGTGCATAAATTAAACAATCACCTGATCCATGCCACGCCACAGTAAGTATTCCTATACCGGGAATGTTTATCAATCTCGTCATTTTTGTCTGCTTTTGTGGCTGTGTTTGGTTAAACTGTTTTAGATAACACATGTTTTCATTGCCGACTGTGTATATTTTTCGTTATTTTTCGGATATTTTTCCTGTAAGTAGATGACATTGTCCTATGATTATTCAAATCAATCTGTTAACCACACCGACTTCTCTGATTTCAGTATTAGCGCATTTAATTACATTTACGTTGTGTTCATTGCAATTCCTGCATTTTGATTAGTTGAATTGGTCACGTGTTATTGCATTCATTTCTCAATGAATGTAACACAATTAAGCCACGCTCGCCGAGGAGGACTACTTTTATTACTGCGGAATGTCGGGGAATCCCAATATTACAATCCAGGGAATTCCTTTTCTGGTCACGTGTATCGTCATGTACATGACATTTAGCGAAAGTCATGCATATTCATTGTCCAAACTACCCTTTAAGACCGAATGCCGAGAAGGAATGACATAGCAATTGCAAACGTGCAGGCTGGCTCGCCTGGGTTACACAGTTCATGTCTTTAGGTTTCATTTCTAACCCCTATTTTCTTCCCGTTCTCAGGGAACTAATCTTTGAATATGGTTGTAACTGGCCATGTCATTTGAAACAGCCGCCTTTCACTGGGCATATTTGTTCCGGTATGTTACAGTCTGACAGTTGCAGTTCTTCGCGCCTCTTGCCTTGATTGAGAGGTCCTATGAAGTTTTGATTCTACTCTCCGTTGATTTGCTACTAACTTTGTGGGCGTGTCAATTTATGTGCATAAATTAAACAATCACCTGATCCATGTCACGCCACAGTAAGTATTCCTATACCGGGAATGTTTATCAATCTCGTCATTTTTGTCTGCTTTTGTGGCTGTGTTTGGTTAAACTATTGTAGATAACACATGTTTTCATTGCCGACTGTGTATTTTTTCGGTTCATTTGAGATACGTGGATTCATACAGTTTGCATATCGGTTTTTAAATTTTTAATTGAAAAATGTCCTATCACGTGATATGCAAATTAACTTGTGGCAGTTAGCTCCGTGTGTATCATACAAAAAGCGTGCACAAGAGGCGATGTGCCTGTATGACGCCACAGTGACGTCACGTAGCATTGCCATCCCATAACGTCACATAGTTTGACTTTTATTAATTTAGGTTCCCAATAGGCAAAGAGTTCGATATTTTATGGCTTTATATCTAAGACAGCTACGCCAAAAATCGCAAAGAACAATAAAAACAAGGCGTGGTTAATTTCACGATAAAACCTTGTTCTTTCATGACATTGTTCTATCATGACGTCACTTCTCTGTTTGTTTGATTGTTTGTTGTTTAACGCCACACTCAGCATTATTCCAGCTATATGACGGCGGTCTGTAAATAATCGAGTCTGGACCAGACAATCCAGTGATTGTCAACAAGAGCCTCGATCCACGCAATTTGGATTGATGACATGCATCAACCAAGTCAGCGAGCCTGACCACCCGATCCCGTTACTCGCCTCTTACGACAAGCATAGTAGCCTTTTACGGCAAGTATGGGTTGCTGAAGACCTATTCTACCCCGGATCTTCACGGGCCACGTCACTTCTAGCGATTCGAACACACGTTCGCAACTTGATGATGTCGTAAACTGGAAGACGCTATTTTTGAGAGGGTAGTGAGTTGTTCCCCATAGATGTAGCTAACGATGTGGCATCCAAAAGTGGGCGAGATGTGGAAATTTGTTTCGGGAGAAAATATACAAATAATCGACTTTCAAATTGTGATAATATCCGGGAAATACCAAATTAGCCCCTCTGTTCATAAAATGGACTCTTCTGAGAGTTATTTATTTACATACGGGTAAATATTTGTTGACATGTTTTGGGAAGTTGTAAATGGTTTTGAAATCTCATAAGAAATGGTCGCTGTTTATCGTACACTAAAACACTGCTGGGAGAATAAACTACCCCCCTCGTCGTTTATTTGTTAAGTAGTGAAATTATTCGACAATAACCTCGAGAAAATTTGAATTAATGCAAAAGGGTAATCTTAGGTAGAATATCTGAAGTTATAAACTAAGCGGCAAAAGAAAGTATAGGTTGGCAATTTGTAATTTTCCTAAAAACAGCCTTAACTAGTGGAAAGTGGGTATTGGGAATATGACTGCCCAGGAACAGGTACCAAAAACACCTCACCCGATCAAGCTTCCTTTGACGGCGCTCGTGCGGTGACCAAAAAAAATGGTGAAACAGGTTTCCCGCCTATGGCGTAAACTGCACGTGCATGTTAGCTGTATAAATGCGTTCGTCTGCTGGGTATAACCACACGTGATGAGAGCACACAAAAGAAATGTCACGACTGTCACAGGAGCAGAGAGAGAGAGAGCCATCGATATGGCCGAAATCGGGGCAACACAGGTCTAAATTACCAGAGGGTTTGTTTGTACACCATTCACAGTAGCCAGGCTGATTCAACGGTACAGGCAGACAGGGAGGACACAGGACAGGCCTAGAACCGGACGACCCCGAGTGACAACACCACTGGAAGACGGTCAGATACGGCTCATTCACCTGTGAAACAGATTCGTAACGGCGACGGCGACGGCGACGGCAGCAACATCGTTGGGACATCCCATTAGCCAACGTACAGTACTACGACGACTTGCTGGAATCCGAGCGTATCGTCCATTCCGAGGATGGTACTGACTGCTCAACATCGACGCCTGAGACTGCGATGGGCGAGGCAGGTTCGACGCTGGCAAGTGAGAAATTGGCGATGAGTGCTGTTTACTGATGAAAGACGGTTTAACTTGTTTCGGAATGACGGCAGAGAACGAGTTTATCGACGCAGAGGGGAACGTTTGGCTCCGGCGTGTATTCGAGAGGTCCATCCATTCGGCGGGGGAGGTGTCATGGTGTGGGGCGGTATTTGTGGAGATCAGAAGACTGAATTGGTGATTATACAGGGAAACCTGAACGCCGTGCAGTACAGAGACCAAGTGTGGCTGCCAGTTGTGCTTCCGTTCTTACAAAACCAACAGCAGAGGGCATTGTTTCAACACGACAATGCCAGGCCCCATACTGCAAGACTGACTCGCTCTGAACTTTCTAAACCAGCAAAACGTTGACGTTTTGCCCTGGCCTGCCCACTCACCCGATATGAATCCTATTGAATATCTGTGGGACCATCTTGACAGACAGATTAGAGCACGCCATCGGCCCCCCCGTCAACAGACAAGAATTGCAGCAGGCCCTGAGAGACGAGTGACAACGGATTCCAGTCCACGTCATCAGAAGACTGACGGCATCGATGAGGCGGCGTATCCCAGCATGCATTGAGGCTGCTGGAGGTCATACACGCTATTGAAGGCGACTGTGTCGACAATGAACTTGTAGAGGGTCTGACAATGTTTTGGTGACATTTAAGACAACGTTTGAAAATGAAATTTTTTACCCCATCATTTCATTCAAACTGTGGTTGATCAATCATTTGTCACACCTCCCTAGATTATATTATAATTCACAACAACAAAACCTCTTCTTATTATATTTTTATCGATCATGGAACTCGACTTTTACTTTCTTTTGGCGCCCAGTTTATTTGAACATAGGTACCTCATGATCATATCGGTCGACCAACCAATCTGGAAAGCGATCAGGCTACCAGCCACAACGTAGAAAATAATATGGCCCCATCGGAATATACCAAAAAATATGCTATTCCGGTATCTCAAGTAGCAGCCAGTATTGGATAATAAACAAAACTTTTTGTTAAAGTCATTTATTAAAACTCGTTTGACTTACAAAAGTAGAGTATGAAAAACAAGTACACAAACACACACTTGTTCGGCTGTGACATACGTTTGTGGCCTGGCACAGGCTACGCTCACCTTTTCGCGAAAACCTGGTATCGTCACTATTTGATGGTGACTCATAAACTCATGCTTATGATATAGTTGGAATCGAACAATGGACTCTGTTTTGGCAGAGATTTCTGATGAATATGGAAAGGGTTTTGTCGCTTTTTTTTGGGTAATTTACGTTCCGATGGCATTGACGACGGCACGAGGTCAAGTGGTGCACCGTGGGGATCGCCGTATTGTTCTAACACTAAAAAAACAGTGTACACTAAACTACGTTTGCTGTATATATGATGTATAAGTGCTTATAACGAACTACGGTTATACCGAATTAACATTATTGATCCCTTTGAGTTCGTTATAACCGTAGTTTACTGTAATTTGAATGGACGTGTAGTTATAGCGTAGTGCCATTCGAAACTGACCTAAAACAAACGTAAAGTTGCGAATGGGTCCAGGGTTTATAAACTGACGTCCAAAAGTAACTTTACCAACTGAAAATATAAATTTCAGACAATATTTTTTTTTTTCCATGAAGTCTATCTAAAACACATAACCTAAATACAACAATAGTGTATTCAGAAAATGTTAATCGTCTGTTACATGTTTGCGAGATAACAGGTGAAAAAGTGAAAAACACCTGCACCACGGACAACTGCAAATGCACGTGCGGGTAAGGGCATAAAACGATTGCAAGGGCAAGTCAGACATCCACAGTGATAAAAAAACACAAAAGAAATGCCACGACTCAGTCGAACAACGTGAACGAGCCTTGGGTATGGTACAGATGGGAGCCACCCACGCCCATATTGCACGAACCTTCGGTTGCTCCCGTGTTGCCCTTTACCAACTTGATGCAACGTTACAGACAGACAGGGCGGACCGCTGACAGGCCAAGAACAGGCAGACCCAGGGTGACTACGCCCTATGATGACCGGTACTTGCGTACCTTGAACCTCCGAAATCGCTTCCTGACAGTGACCTCATCGGCGACAAATGCCTTAGGTCACAGGGTTAGTCGACAGACAGTGGCCAGGAGACTCAGGGCTCATGGAATCAGGGCTTTTAGACCATACAGAGGACAGCTTTTGACAGCGCAACATCGTCGTCTGCGATTGAGATGGGCCCGGACTGTACGACGTTGGCAACGACGTGACTGGCAGAGGGTTGTCTTCACTGACGAAAGTCGATTCTGTATGTTTAGGGCTGATGGAAGAACGTGTTTACCGCCGAAGGGGTGAACGAACGGCGGCGTGTTGCGTGCAGGAGGTCGTACCATTTGGTGGAGGGAGTGTCATGGTGTGGGGAGGGATCTGTGGGCAGGATAGGACACCGCTGGTCATCGTTGACGGAAACTTGACAGCTCAGCGTTACATGGATAACATTCTTCGTCCAGTTGTCCTACCATTTCTCCAACAGCAGCCACGTGGTGTCATTTATCAGCATGACAAAGCTAGAGCCCATACAGCCAGAATTGTCACTAACTTCCTCGCAGCCAACAACGCCAACGTCCTGCCGTGGCCTGCACGCTCACCCGACATGTCCCCCATAGAACACCTCTGGGACTTGATGGATCGTCGTGTTCGACAACGACCACACTCTCCAGCCAACCGGCAAGAACTGATCTTGGCACTCCAAGAAGAATGGCTTCAAATCCCACGTGACCTCATCAGACGACTGACTTTTTCTGTGCGTCGAAGAGTTTTTACGTGTATTGAGGCATTTGTTGGTCACACACGCTACTAATGACTTGTTATTGAACGTGAGCGATTGTTTATGTACTCTGCCTATTGTTCATGATTCTGAAAGCTCGAGTTTTGTACCACACCCAACTTTGGGGGGCTCTGACGTCATTCTCGGTCGCGGTATGATTGTCATTTTCAGTGTTGATTATGTTGATATATTGATCTTCTCAATACACTTTACTTCATGCATGTATGTTTAATTGTTTTTGAGCAAGAGTGATTTCAAACTCTGGTAAAGTTTCTTTTGGACGTCAGTTTATGTAATAGAATGGAGACACGATACACAAGATAGCGAAGAGGATAACCCATATAACAATTTCATTAACTTTTTACATCAAATGACGTTGGTCATATGAGAATCAAACCACGTCTTCTCACATACAGTTGCCATGAACAAATTTAAAAAATAGTTTGAATAGGAGGTGTGTCTGGGTGCGCGTAGTCACACATTGATGCGCGTGCCCTGGGACGGAGGAGTGAGTGAGAGTTGGGTTTAACGCCGCTTTTAACATTATTCCAGTTTTATCGCGGCGTGTCAGCTTAATATGGGAGGAAAGCCCGAAGTGATGCAGGTCTCAGGCGTTTACCACTTCGGTGCAACCCACGAGCACGGGTGTGGTGCTGACAAACCTAGAAACAGGTTTCTGGCGTGCCCAAGGGACGCCACTCTGCACAGCGAATCGCGGCGCCTTTAGACGACTGGGCCCCCCGTGCCCCCTGGGACGGAGGAGAAGTATGTAGTAGACAGTATAACACATGTTGATAGAGTAGAAAAGCGATAACACTGTTGGTAGATAGTGTACGTAGCAAGTTAATAACACATGTTGAAAGAGTAGACAGTGTAACAAATGTAGATAAAGTTTTAGGTTTCAGGATTGGCAAATTGAATTGTGATGATTGTTGCCACTGCATATTCCTTGACACCAGCCTGAAAATATAAAAAGGGAAATTTGGAACGTTACTTGAAACTCTTGAGATTATACAGACTGTTGTTGTGGTTGTTGGTTTGTTGTTTAACGCCGCACTCAGCAATATTCCAGCTATATGACGGCGGTCTGTAAATAATCGAGTCTGGACCAGAGAACCCAGTGATTGATACCATGAGCATCGATCCACGCAATTGGTTGATGCATGTCATTGTGTCCCAATTGCGTGGATCGATGCTCATGATGTCAATCACTGGATTGTGTGGTCCAGACACGATTATTACTCAGGCCGCCGTCATATAGCTGGAATATTGCTGAGTGCGGCGTTAAACAACAAACAAACAAAAAAAAACTTGGGGACAAACCGGAAGTTCGTAGGTAGCAACTACCATTGTCTCGCTGTGACAGTTGAAAATGATATTTCACCCGAGTACATGAAGCATGATTTAGGCAGTAAAACGCTCGTTTCAATATTCTTTATTTTTGATGTCATCGGGTGCGATAGCGACGAGTCGAAAACCAGGTAGACATCGAGGCAATTAATTGGTCATGTGTCAACTACCAGCCACTTATCTTAAAGCGCACACGTCAAAAGATTTTATTTGTGAAACATGCATGAAGACGTACAAATCTAAATATTCTACAGCCCAGCGAGAAAATGGTTTTCTGATTTTGCATGGACAGCGCTTATCCCCTGTGGAACATGAATACCTCACTAAGACTGTCTTATTGCTACCCTCCCTGCCTGACGTTTAAGTAAGACACTGACTCCGAGCCGACCGGTGCCGAGCGTCAGGCAGGGTAACAACAAGTACCATCTTTTACCGTGTTTTGGTATGAGGCACCTACCGATCTTCTGCACTTCGAGCATGCGCTCTATCCACTACCATCACCTAAAGATGAATGTATTAACGGAATTGATGTGAATGTAGGTAAGATTATCTCCATACATACCTAAATAACTACCGCTACGACTGGGTCATTGTTCCGGCAACAACAGTAGTAGTAGCAGATCAACAAGACGAGCATCGACCCACCACCTGCAGATCCACCCACGTAGACACCGACCGAACTGATAATGAGAATTTAGAAATTTGCCGTGTGTTCGTATGTGGTGGGGTTATCATCTTTGTGACGTTTTGATTGAAGGGGAAAATGTAAAACATTAAAATCTTTAATACGTTTTCTTTTGTTTGTTTTTTTGTTGTTTAACGCCGCACTCAGCAATATTCCAGCTATATGACGGCGGTCTGTAACTAATCGAGTCTGGACCAGACAATCCAGTGATTGACATCATGCGCATCAATCAATCAACCAAGTCAGCGATCCTGACCACCCGATCCCGTTAGTCGCCTCTTACGACAAGCAAAATCGTCTTTTAGAGCAAGCATGGGTTTCTGAAGACCAGTTCAACCCCGGATCTTCACGGGTTCTTTAATGCTTAGGAATGAATACAGAATGCAGGTACAAAAACACAGTTCGGTTGCAGTTTTTTAATCAACGATTGTGTGCATGTTGGTTTACGCCGCAAACATCGCTATTCCAGCTGTATGATGCACAAATGTTATATTTGTAAACATAAGAAAGCACACTCCGGCGCAGTGGGGACTTAGCATAACACCACTGCCACAGGCTAATTTGCACATCACGTGACCGGACATTTCTCTTGTTTGTAAACAAACGCGCTTTTTCAGAAATCAGAATAGAACGGACTAATGCAAGTACATGTATTTGGGGGCGCTTTACATATTGTTTCGCATACTTATATAGATATGCTACTACAACTGCGACAGTGAGTTGCATGACAATACATATTTACACATCAAAGTGACCGTATCGCTAGCTCTCCGTAGGGCTTCGATGACAGCACGTGGAGCCGTACAATCAATGTAAACATAGGATAACTACGCAAATGGAAATAGTTTTTCACGATTTAGCATATTTTTACATATGTTTATCTAGATTTGTAGACTTGTTAAAAATTAAACAGATAAAAAACATATGCAATACCTTGAATGGACTGTGTAAGATGTGACGAATCGTTCCATGGCGCTGGCCTGTGGCAGAGGTACTATGCTAGTCGCATGGAACTGTGGGTAGGAGAGTGATAAGAAACGATACATGCAATCGGGGCACACAACCGGCCCATCCCATCCAATTCAGTTGGCTTTTACGACCAGCAATGAGGTGCTTGCGACCAATTCTAACTTGGGCCCCAAAGGGGTTATTGTTTTGGAAAACTTCACTTGCCTGAGACGATACGAGCTTAAACGACCCGTGAAGATTCCGGGGTAGAATAGGCCCTCAGCAACCCATACTTGCCGTAAAAGGCGACTATGCTTGTCGTAAAAGGCGACTAACGGGATCGGGTGGTCAGGCTCGCTGACTTGGTTGATACATGTCATCGATCCCAATTGCGTCGATCGATGCTCATGATGTCATTCACTGGATTGTCTGGTCCAGACTCGATTATTTTACAGACCGCCGTCATGTAGCTGGAATATTGCTGAGTGCGGCGTTAAACAACAAACAATCAAACAATCAATCAACGAGTTTCAACATAGCCCTGTTTGTCGAAGATGTCTCATGCCTTACCTGTCCTCCTCACAACACTCGTCAGTGCAACACCCACTGCTGCACCTTCGGGTGGTTTTGTTTCCATGAAGGTTTTCAAACGTGCAGTACTCTGCAATTATAGCTGAAACAAAGCAATTTATATCAAGAACAGGTTTTGTAGTTTTGTGTGATTTTTATTTTATTTTTGAGTTACGTGCCCAAAGCATTTCTAGAAATAGTCTGCACAAATTCATGAATATGAATCTAGGTGACATACAATATATAATATAAAGTTAGATAGAATATATGACTATACTGTAAGTTAAAGAAGGGCGAAAGATCTTGTGTGGAATAAAGGAGTTTTGACAAGCACGAATATCTGGACTCAGGTTTTTTTTCTACATTTAATACTTATACACCTGATGAAATCACTTGTTTATATATATGTATACGAGTTGATAAAAGTTTACAACTAGTTTTTCCGAAGAGATTTAGGCTAATTTTCGACGTGTGTTGAATCCGTTGATACATTTGAGCACACGAGGCGTGAAATTCTATTTTAATCCGAAATCATTCTTCCAAAGTTTTGAGCATGTAAAGTGAGGTCAAGTGATTTGGACTTTATCGTCGAATTATTTTTGCACTTAAATAGCGATGTGCATGCACGTGTGTGTGTGTGTGTGTGTGTGTGTGTGTGTGTGTGTGTGTGTGTCTGCTTGTCCTAGTTCGGCCTTATGTCCATTGTTTGTGCTAGCCCTCTCAGATACCGTGCCGCAGTCTTAACGTCCTTTGGTATGACACGGCCGGGGATCTAACCTCCGACCTTCCGCTCTCCGGACAGACGCTTTCCCTCGGGACCAAGCGGGCGGTCCTTTTAGTATATATACAGTGATAAACCAGTGTCTTTAGTGTAGAACATACAGCTTCAGTGGGAAAGAGATTAGTGATGCCTTTTTATTGTGACGATGGTAACGATGACATCACAATGGTCTGCAAAGTATTGTGATGCACTTTCTTGAAGATATCGCTTGGTCACATCAAGGGATATATATCTCCTACGGTAGCCCGTTTGGGATGAGAAATAGAGATAACTGCACGAGTGGCTTTCGTAAGAGTGAGTGAGTTTGGTTTAACGCCGCTTTTAACAATATTCCAGTCATATCACGGCGTGTCAGCTTAATGGGGGAGGAAAGCCCGAAGTGATGCAGGTCGTTTACCACTTCGATGAAACCGACGAGCACGGGCAATGTATGCTCGTTGTCCACACTTATAACACTGGATGCTGCTTAGCAATATGTGCTCGTTGTCCACACTTATAACACACTGGAGTGAGTGAGTGAGTGAGTAGGGTTTAACGCCGCTTTTAGCAGTATTACAGTTATATCGCGGCGTGTCAGCTTAATGTGGGAGGAAAGCCCGAAGTGATGCAGGTCTCAGACGTTTACCACTTCGATGAAACCGACGAGCACGGGTATGGTGCTTACATACCTAGAAACATAATCGGGGCGAACCGGGATTCGAACCCACAACCATAGGTTTCTGTCGTGCGCAAAGGACGCAACTCTGCACAGCGAATCGCGGCACCTTCGACGACTGGGCCACCCGTGCCCCTGGATTTCGTAAGATAAATGGTAAATGCACTACTCTGTTTCTTACACTCTGAAATCGCACCATTTGAGCATCGAATCGATGAAACAGTTTGGGATACGATGACATGCACCAACCAAGTCAGCGAGCCTGACCACCCGATCCCGTAAGTCGCCTCTTACGACAAGCATAGTCGCCTTTTACGGTAAGTATGGGTTGCTGAAGACCTATTCTACCCCGGATCATCACGGGTTTCCTGCTTACTAAAGTAACTCATACCTAGTGTGGTTTCCGCCATATCCCTGGACTATCAAGGCAATGGTGATAATGCGAACTAGATAAGACCAACGAACATTTATTTACACTCTAAAACCATATAGTTTCAACACAAACATAGGTCAATTCGACTGAAGCACGAGTAATAAATTACACCAGGAAAGTTTGATTGTTTGTTTGTTGTTTAACGCCGCACTCAGCAATATTCAAGCTTTATGATGGCGGTCTGACAAATAATCGAGTCTGGCCCAGACAATCCAGTGGTTGACATCATGAGCATCGATCCACGCAATTGGGAGACGATGACATGCATCAACCAAGTCAGCGAGCCTGATCCCGGCAAGCATGGGTACAATCAGGGAAGTAGTCCGTCAGAATCTGACCACAGGTCATCACCATGAGGTAGACAATCACGGGCCTGGAATTCAATCTCGCGCCATGTTCGATACCAGTTATCTTTAATGGTTTCTCATGAACACCGACAGGTGTGTAAGAAATTGAAATCCCTGTACCTATTTATGAATCGGTAGTAAATCTAGTTCTTTTATGATAATATAGTGAGTGAGTGGGTGAGTATAATATTCCAGCATTATCACGGCGGGGGACACTAGAGATAGGCTTCACACACGTGACGAGCTAACGCTTTAACCACAAAGCTACCCTACCGCCCCCTCTCATAATTACATCGCTGCACGTTATCAGGTGAACTGTAAGTGTCCACATCCTGTTCGCGCGTGCAAAATCCCTCCTTTATCTTCCTCATCCTCATTATGATGTTTTTGCTGAACATTATCTTGTCCCGTTTACAGTAACTTCCTTCAAAGAAATTTAGCGATAAGCATTAACCAATGGCGAGCTATATAACCACTGCGGAATAATGATACATCGCTACCATGCAATTTATTGTACATGACACGTGTCCATTGTTATCTTCCAGGAAGTAAATCCCTGAATACAAATTCAATTATTTGGCCATTCGAGACCAACTCGTGTTATTCCGGGGCAAGCCGAATAGCGACTCGTACCCCTCTCATGGCCATTTTTGCGACCGGGTTCCGTCTAAGCGCAAACGGGCATACCTGAAACAATTGTCAACTCTTTGCGTAATGGTTCACATATATTTCCCCATATATTATATATACTTCAGATGCAAGTTAAAGCACATCTGGACATGCGGAATTATACAGTGTGATTGAACACATTTAACTGTGTCTTGGGTATATTTTTAGATGCAAGACATATATAAAATCAAAAAATTATTTCTGAGGGATTCTTTGACGAAGAACTTGAAATCATTCGCCCATTCTGATTGGTTTGTCTTATTTTCGCACATAACATCCATCGATAGGGGGACGAGTCTTCTTGCAGGTTACGGAAAGGGGCGAGTGGTGACGAATGCTATTTGGCAACTGCTTTAAAGGCAGTCGGAGGCGACTATCCTTGTCGTAAGATGCAACTAGTGGGATCGGTGGTCAGGCTCGCTGTCTTGGTTGATGCATGGCATCGATCCCAATTGCGTGGATCGATGCTCATGATGCCATTCACTGGATTGTCTGGTCCGGACTCGATTATTGTAAATTACAGACCGCCGTCATATAGCTGGAATATTGCTGAGTGCGGCGTTAAACAACAAACAAAACAAAAAACAAAACAAGGCAGTCGGACCAGCGCAATTCTGCGTAATCGTATGCCAGTGTTTGATAAACAAACTATGTATATTGATTACTGTCATGATATGATGCCAAAGATCCCAATTTCACGACCTGCACATGAAGAATTGTATTACTTTGGAAATTATTATTTTTCAAACATCAAGTGATCAATCGTTTTAAACGTATGAGAGACGGTGACACCAAGGGTACCACACTTTGCGGCTGGATGGTTGCTTGCTTTGTTGTTTAACGCCGCACTCAGCAATATTCAAGCTATATGTCGGCGGTCTGTAAATAATCGAGTCTGGACCAGACAATCCAGTGCTTAATATCATGAACATCGATCCACGCAATTGGGATCGATGACATGCATCAACCAAGTCAGCGAGCCTGACCACCCGATCCCTTTAGTCGCCTTTTACGACAAGCATAGTCGCCTTTTACGGCAAGCATGGGTTGCTGAAGACCTATTCTACCCCGGATCTTCGCGGGTCTATTGAATATGAAAAGTTAACATATTACCTGGCAGAATCGCCAAGAGAAAAGTCAGCCGAAGAAACATCGTTGTGGGTGAGATGGGTAGATTGACGTCTGAGCTCTGATGTTGTACGTTGTCATCTGTCATCGGGATGTTATATCTGTTTTATCATTTCAGGGTTTTCCTCAATGCCCCCCAGCAAAGATCCGGGTTGTCTCCACCAACCCCGCACCCCAGGTGACATACAGGATCCTGGTTGATGCATGCCATGGTATCCCAGTTCCGTGGATGTATTGTGGTAGCACGGAAGTTAAAACGCTTTCCCTATAGCCGGTGAACACGGTTCGATCGCATACCATCGTGTGAACAATGTGTGCACCCACCCACCCCAACCCCCCACTCCCATTCCCGAATATTGCTGAAACGTGACGTGAAACCATATTCACTCACAAAAAGGAAGCTTGAGAATTAAGAATAGCATTTGATGAATATTTTGTTCAATAAAAAACATGAATTACGAATGAATTCTTTATTGATAGAAAATGTGTCATGTAAAATTCAAGTCTCGACACACATACAGAGTCATCAGGTATAATTAGGTGGTTTTTTTAGAGATCCCATTCATTGTTTCGAATAGATGAAACGTGCTACTGCAAAGGCTGTCTAAAGTCTGAGGTGAAGCATATAATAATAATAATAATAATAACAAATCCATTTATACTACGCCAGATTCCATTCACCACGTTAATGCTCATGGCGCTACACAGTTTTAGCAAGTAATGCTAATGAAAGGGGAGTAGAGTTGATAGTGTTGTCTGAAAAGGTGTGTTTTCAGATGAGCCTTAAAGGATGAAAACGATGGCAACAGCTTAAGATCGGATGGTAGTTTGTTCCATAGGGATGAAGCGCAGAACTGGAAAGATCTCTGACCAAAGGTTTTGAGACGGGTTTCCGGGACTTGTATCAGGTGAACGGGGATATCTGGAAGGCTTGTATTTAGGCAGTTCGGTGAGATATAAAGGGGCTGTTTCCATGTAGCATTTGTAGCCCAGGGTTAGAATATATGGGCTACGAGAGTCGTAATGCTGAGATCTGCTCACAACACAGGTCCTTGCCCTGCCTTTGGCATGCGCAAAATCTTTTTCTGCATACACCGCGATCAAATCTTTGTTGGCAATAAACAACGAGAAACAGAGAGCAGGTATAGGTCAACGGGGAACTAGAAACATGGTTTCAAGATTATAGGGATTGGCCATGTTTGAATTTTGATTGGTTGTGAAGACATCACCTGAAAAGGTAAAGAAAAAAGTGAGGTGAGGTGAAATGGTGTTTAACGTCGTGTTCAAGATCATTGTACTTATATAGCCGTGTTCGTATCGTGCGTGCGTGGGTCTGAGTGCTTGCGTACGTGAGGCTGTGTGCTAGCGTGCGTGGGTGCTGGACAACACCGGTTTCATATAGTGCTTGCCCACTGAGATAGCATGCCTCAGTTTAACATGGATATCCCACCCATACACGGTGCACTGGCTCCGAACCGACCAGTCCTTGTTTATCCATTTAATGCGTTGGGCAGGGTAACAGCAAGGACCTTCTGTTAAGGTCTGTTGGTGTAACGTGGCCAAAGATAACATCACCGACCTCCCGCTCTCCGGGCAGACGCTCTATCCCATGGACCATGCATGAATGTGGTAAAACATAAAAGTAAAGTTGAATAAATACTGGATTTGTTTGTTTGCTGTTTAACACCGCACTCAGCAATATTCCAGCTATATGACAGCGGTCTGCAAATAATCCAGTCTGGACCAGACAATCCAGTGATTAATATCATGAGCATCGATCCACGCAATTGGGTGGTTGGTTTGTTGTTATACGCCGCACTCAGCAATATTCCAGCTATATGTCGGCGGTCTGTAAATAATCGAGTCTGGACCAGACAATCCAGTGATTGATATCAGCATCGATCCACACAATTGGGATCGATGACATGCATCAACCAAGTCAGCGAGCCTGACCACCCGACCCTTGGCAACAGCTAGCGTCAACAAGAGGTCAAAACAGAAAATGTACCGACTATGACGGAAAAAAACTGTTAAGATTTCGATTGTGTATTGTTTCTTGTCTTCCGGATTAAAACTGTTTCCCTGAAACCTGTGCTGGTCGTATGAGGCGGCATAAGACGCAAAGTGACTTGCTTGATAGCGTGTCATCTTACCCCGACGGCGCCTATCGTTGCTCATGATCTCAGTCATCGGTTTGTCTAGGTCCGACTTGATTATTACATCATATAGCTTGTTGTGGCACATGTATCTGTACCATTACCAAAGAGTTTTAACATAAACACCTGTACCGTTATCGCATGTGCGCCCGGCAGGTATCCTCCAAATACTTAGATAATTATTGGCACCACCCGGGTATTATTGGACCGGCAGCAAAAGTAGTAAATGCAGCAACAAAAGATGATGAATGACACTCCACCGGCAGACCCACCAATGTAGACACCAAAACCGACAGAACTGTGAATGTATAGAAAATTACAGTCAATCGCCATTCACCGGACAATTATAAAAGCATCACTACTTTTTTACATGAAAATTATTTCATTGGCTTTGAATCAACCACAGTTATACTGTCCACAGCAAAAATATGATGTGCAATGTCCTATGCATATATCTCTGGTTCAAGCGTTTGCGTCTCAGTCAGAAGCCTCGGGTTCAATCCCCCACATGGGTTTAATGAGCAAAGCCACTTTCGAATGAGAGAGTCAGTGAGGTTTTGCGCCGCTTTAAGCAATATTCCAGCAATATCACGGCGGGTGACACCAGAAGTTGGCTTCGCACATTGTACCAATGTCGGGAATCGAAGCCGGGCCTACGGTGTGACGAGCGAACGGTTAAACCACTAGGCTACCCGACCGCCCCGCCCCTTTCGAGTGCCCCCGTCGTTAGATTGCTGGAACATGGCTAAAAGCAACGTAAAACCCAACTCACTCAATGTGCATCATGACTGCCATGACACGAACAGAAATGAAAATTCGACGTAAGGTGCGAACATTTCCTTATCTAGTGTATACCCATGAATATCCGGGTTAGGATAGGACCTCAGCAAACCATGCTTGCTGTAAAAGTCGACTAACGGGATCGGATGGTCTGGCTCGCTGCTGCTCGGATCATAAACACATGTTTATATGTTCAAAGGTGTTTATCCCAACTGCTTGGATCGATGATCATGATGTCAATCACTGAATTCGCTGGTCCAGACGCGATTATTTACAGAACGCCGTCATACAGCTGGAATATTGCCGAGTGCGGCGTTAAACAACAAACAAACAAGCAAACAAATCTTATCCCCTGTGCGGCCTGACTGATTGTGTGTGATCGTAACTCAACAACATGGATCGTTGCTTTTGTTATCATCTGACCTAGCAGGTCCAGGCTCGATCATTTATATACACAGCAATATTTCTGTTTGCGGTATTAAACAACATCGACTCACTTACCAACTTAGACTATTCATGTACGGGACCCGTGAAGATTCGTTCTAAGGTAGGTCTTCAGCAACCAATGCTTGCGATTATGCTTGAAGTAAGAGGCGAGTAACGGGATCGGGTGGTCAGGCTCGCTTACTTGGTTGATGCATGTCATTGTTTCCCAATTGCGTGGATCGATGCTCATAATGTCAATCATTGGAATGTCTGGTCCAGACTCGCTTAGGTACAGACCGCCGTCATATAGCTTGAATATTGCTGAGTGCGGCGTTAAACAACAAACAAACCTTAAAGAATCAAGAGCCACGAAGACTTTTGTTAAGACAAGTGAAAGTTCTACAATATGTACATGTTAAACGACAAACAAACAAACAAATATTCATGTACGGTATGTAAGAGAACAGCTGCCCATGATTCGGATAACAGATTTGAAATAAAAATATTTAGTGTTGGTTTGGTTGGTGGTTTGTTGTTTAACGCCGCACTCAGCAAAATTCCAGCTATATGAGGGCGGTCTGTAAATAATCGAGTCTGGACCAGACAATCCAGTGATTAATATCATGAGCATCGATCCACGCGATTGGGATCGATGACATGTATCAACCAAGTCAGCGAGCCTGACCACCCGATCCCTTTAGTCGCCTTTTACGACAAGCATAGTCGCCTTTTACGGCAAGCATGGGTTGCTGAAGACCTATTCTACCCCGGAATCTTCACGGGTCAAACATATTTAGTGATACATAACCCGTAATACGTTCCGATACTCTATTGCTCTGTTCTAGACAAAATAATTGAATAGCCCCACCTTGTCTTGCAGCAGGTCTTGGTGCAACAGCCATTGGGACACGATCTGTATGTTGAATAGCCACTGCTAGATACATACTTGCAATAATACTCGGCTGAGACGACTGCAACAAAACAATATGAACAGTTATGAATTAACATGAGATCCGTGAAGATCCGGGGTAGAATTGGTCTTCAGCAACCCATGCTTGCCGTAAAAGGAGACTACGCTGACTTTGTTGATGCATGACATCGTATCCCATTTGCGTGGATCGATGCCCATGTTGTCAATCACTGGATTGTCTGGTCCAGATTCGATTATTTACTGACCGCCGTCATATAGCTGAAATATTGCTGAGTGCTGCGTTAAACAACAGTCAAACCTTAAAGAATCAAGAGCCACGAAGACTTTTGTTCTACAACATTTACATGTAGTGTTAAAAGCTGCAGAAAGAGTTGTACCTTGTCATTTGGATGTTCCTTCGGAGGCTTGAATCATCGCGTACAGCCAGGGGTTACCGTAAACGAACCTGGTCTTGTCGCGAAGCTCTCATAAAATTTCCTATTTTGATTGCTAACATTTGCAAGTGTTCGTGATGCAGAGTTGCGTCCCCTGGGCACGCCAGAGACCTATTGTAGTGGGATAGAATCGATACTCGCGGGTTTCACCAAAGTGGTAAACTTCGGGCTTTCCTCTCACATTAAGCTGACACGCCGTGATATAACTGGAATATTGTTCAAAGCGGCATTAAACTCCGCTCACTCATTCACTTTAAGGTATTTTCTTATAATTATGAAAAGGGTTTTGTCAATTTTATTTAAATCAAACCTGCTAAGAAGGAAATGTAAACACTTCGTCGCCTGAAAACTCTGGTGTAACTTCCACTACTACAGTGCTGACATTATGGCTGTTGAAGTTTTGAAGTGTTGTCATTTTATAATCATGAAAGAATATTACGACATAACGTGAACAAAGGCATAGATTCTTCCACATTACGTGAACAAATGCATAGATTCTTCTACCTAACGAGACCCGTGAAGATTCCGGGGTAGAATAGGTCTCCAGCAAACCATACTTGCCGTAAAAGGCGACTATGCTTGTCGTAAAAGGCGACTAACGGTGGTGGTCAGGCTCGCTGACTTGGTTGATACGTTAAACAACATACAAACAAAAGACGAAGAGAAAAACGTTGAACTATGTATTTTGCAACACAGTTGGGGACAATTTTTAATGTTGACTCAGCAGGGTTTAAAACTGCTATTGGGCTTCTAATGTTCGTTTGTTGTTTAACGCCGCAATCAGCAATATTCCAGCTATATGACGGCGGTCTGTAAACTAATCGAGTGATTGACATCATGAGCATCGATCCACGCAATTGGGATCGATGACATGCACCAATGAAGTCAGCGAGCCTGACCACCCGATCCCGTTAGACGCCTCTTACGACAAGTATAGTCGCCTTTTACGGCAAGTATGGGTTGCTGAAGACCTATTCTATCCCGGATCTTCACGGGCTTCTGATGAACCTCGGGGACTTCAATCTACCCGCAGAAAAGCGGTGGAATAGGTCTTCAGCAACCCATTCTTGCCGTAAAAGGCGACCCAATCTCATTAAAATCAAATCAAAATCATCGTCTATCGTTCGCTTCCGTGGGATAAATATTTAAACAGAGGAGACGATGCATAGTACGTGAGAAGCACTGCCATACAATCTCAACCAAATATTAGACATTCCGGATTGGTCGTTTGTTCAGTTTTCAAAATTTTAATCGAGAACTGTGTCAACATATTTCGCAAGCGTTGCCTAAATGGAAGTCGCCAGGTTGAAACGAGTGTCGCAAAGCTGGAGAAAGCTGCTTTCTAATTGGCTGATATCGACTTCTTGTTAGTAATTTCATTGGACGGTCAAAGTTCGCGAAAAGTCGTTCTGACGTGACTCGTAATGGGATGTCCTCAGTTCTTTGTTTAGCGGCAGCGAGAACTTAGATCTGATTTTAATGAGATGGAAGGCGACTATGCTTGTCTTGAAAGGCGAATAATGGGATCGGGTGGTCAGGCTCGCTGACTTGATTGGTGAATGTCATCGATCCCAATTGCTTGGATCGATGCTCATGATGTCAATCACTGGATTATCTGGTCCAGACTCGATTATTTACAGACCGCCGTTATATAACTGGAATACTGCTGAGTGCGGCGTTAAACAACAAACAAACACAGCTGTTCCCTGTATACCTATGTTTTTATGTATGAACTCGAGAGACGTTATTCGATATCGAACAGTGGGAGATGCCATAAATTGTATCACGTTCTTTGAATTATGAGTGGGACCGCATACCCAATGACCGTATACGTCGTACACACAGGTAATAGATAGCTGCATGGAGGGCAATACCCGGATGTTCCTCTGTAAGTTGAGTTAAGTATTTTCTATATTTATAAGAAATCTCGATTGTACGATACCGACTATATCATAGGCATGTGTTTATGAATCAATATGAAATGGTAGGTTTAAGATATGATATAAACCATGTCTCAAAACGTTTTCAAGTTAAAAAATATGTCTTCTTCAAATTTGATAAAATTCGTTTTGCGTTCAAATGAGCTAATAAACACCTCAAGTTTATGTTGCACAGCGCAATATGGGTTATTATAATGTGACATTCGCGCAATCAGTCGCGTCACTTCAGATCGGATGGTCAGAGGTGAGGTGAGGTGAAATGGGGTTTAACGTCGCGTCCAAGATAATTGCACTTATATAGCGATGTGCATGCACGTGTATGTGTGTGTGTGGCTGCTTGTACTAGTCCGGACTGATGCCGATTTATAGTGCTAGCACACTGAGATACCATGCCGCAGTTTAACATGAATACCCCACTCAGACACAGTATACTGACTCCGAGCCGACCAGTCCTTGTTTTAGCCCCTTAATGCCGAGCACCAGAAAAGGTAACAACAAGTACAATCTTTAAACGTCTTTTGGTATGACGCGGCTGGGGATCGAACCCCGGACCTTCCGCTCTCCAGGCAGACGCTCTACCATTAGACCACGGAGGCGGTCCGGTGACTTGCGTGTCATCCTATATCAAGACGTCCGTCTTGAATGCGGCATTAAGCAACCACCGAACAACCTTTACTTTAAAATTCATAAGCAAACCATTCTTCTGGCAATTGATTATAAAGGCAACCATTAATGTATTAGATTCAACATTTAACAGTGTTGTAAATCAATGCTGGATATGAAAAATAATCATCCTTACCAGGTAGAAGAAGGGAAAGGGTCACCAACCACCTGAGCAACATGTTTGCAGCTGACGGGTCTGATGTTGAAGTGCCCGTGAGTCATCCCCCACACAGCCAGTCCATGGCAACAAGCAACATATTGTGCATGTGATCTCAGTGTGCGGATAGAATTCATTGAGCTCCTCTGTATTTCCATACCTGCACCTTTTGCCATGAACTGGTCCTTATACCCATGTTATACCCATCTGGCGGCGGTCTGTATATAATCGAGTCTGGACCAGATATTCCAGTGAGTGACATCATGAGCATCGATCCACGCAATTGGGATCGAGGACATGCGTCAACCAAGTCAGCGAGCCTGACCACCCGATCCCGTTAGTCGCCTCTTATGACAAGCATGGTCATCTTTCACGACAAGCATGGGTTGCTGAAGACCTTTTCTAACCAGGATCTTCACGGGTCATCATACAGGAGTATACATTATTGTACACGCACGTCCACGAATTGCTGTCTTCATCAAACTACATTTAGCCAACGAGAACAACTTGCTTCCTTTTATTTTATTTTACCATGTGCGTTAATATGATCACAGTGTTGACCAAAAATGTAAACGTTAACATTTTTTCTGCTTCACTGAAATAATATCTAAAGCCGTATAGCTGCCGTTGGGAACTAAATTTGCAGGGGGCGTATAATGCGAACCCTCTGTTTATTAAAAAAAAAAGACCACAAGAGCGGATCCAGCATTTTCTGAAAGGGAAGGGTCCCTATTAATGAATAATATTTAAGTCTGCATTGTAGCCTTCATAAATAGTCTTATTTTTTCATTGTACTTTATGATCATACTCGTCATTGCCCGTAGAAAACATGAGATGGAAGTAACGTTTGACAAACATATTTAACATAAAATGCTATATTTGAACACTAATTTGTACATTTAAACCGTACACTTTTTTGTTTATTTAACGCCGCACTCAGCAGTATTCCAGCTATATGACGGCGGTCTGTAAAATAATCGAGTCTGGACCAGACAATCCAGTTATTGACATCATGAGCATCGATCCCATCTTGGTAAACATTCCCGTCAACACCTGCGTGACATTTGTTGCAATGTTACAAGAAGAACAGCAAACTGATCAACCCAATCGAAGCAATGAAGATGTAATAAAAAATAAAAACTTTTCAACTCAAGATTTATGGCCCAAGCAGAATTCATGCATCCCCCTTGTTCTCCCTGGATAAATAGATTCAATTTCGACAGTTAAGAGCAGGTTGAATATTCGCACAGACTTGAATTGATTTCTTTCTTTTATGCAATCTTTTGCTTTAGGGGGCCAGAACAAGGAAGTACTATATAATTGTAAGTCTCTGAAGCATGACCAATACTCAATGTTTTCTTCTTTTGTCACCAAGGGGCGGTCGGGTAGCCTAGTGGTTAAAGCGTTCGCTCGTCACGCGTAAAGATTCCGGGGTAGAATAGGTCTTCGGCAACCCATGCTTGCAGTAAAATGCGACTATGCTTGTCGTTAAAGGCGACTAACGGGTGGTCGGGTGGTCAGGCTCGCTGACTTGGTTGATGCATGTCATCGATCTCAATTGCGTGAATCGATGCTCATGATATTAATCACTGGATTGTCTGGTCCAGACTCGATTATTTACAGAGTGCCGTCATATAGCTGGAATATTGCTGAGTGTGGCGTTAAACAACAAACCAACCAAACCAACCGAAGACCCGGGTTCGATTCCCGACATGGGTACAATGTGTGAAGCCCATTTCTGTTGTCCCTCGCCGTGATATTGCTGGTATATTGCTAAAAGCGGCGTAAAACCATACTCAGTCAGTCAGTCTTTAAAATTGTCACCACCTTTTGTTACCAACTTTTGTTACCAAGGACATTGATCGGTATGTTATTTGCTTTTAACATGTCTGGACTACGCTGGCGGTTTCTTTGTTACCCACCTGGTAATAAGATCCGTTTCACACATTATAAATTACCCCTTTTGTTCCGCATCTCATTTTGGAAATAAAATTTGGTTTTATTCCATGCTTCATGTATAATGGCAGAAACCTGCGGTGTTATAAACAACATCATGGGTTAAATTACCAGCGAAGTAAGCATTGAAGGAACTTCACAAATATGAGAAATATAAGCCAAGGAATAAAGTAGAGATCATTATCCTCCTTGATTACATTGTAGGGTGAAGATCCGGGGTAGAATACATTGTAGGGTGAAGATCCGGGGTAGAATAGGTCTTCATCCATAACACAAACAGTGTTGCCGATCTTGAACGGGAAATCCGACTTGTGTGGGATAACCTGACAGTCGACTATATCCAGGCTCTGTACAGGAGCATTCCGAGAAGGATTTTACGTGTAATTACCTCAAAGGGACATATTACCAAGTACTAAGGTAACTATTCACGTTTATGAGTCACCGATTATTTTATTTTCACCAAAACATTTTTCAGACGAGAACGTCACGCTGCTGGCCGCCATGTTTGTTTTCCGAATACTTTTGGCGGAAAGCTGTATTTCGTGGTATTGTGACAGATGTAACGACATACGCTCACTGCTTGAATGATTTTGAGAATTACAAACAAACCGCACGAGAGGAGGTCCTGCTCTAAGAAGATTCAGTCGAGCAGAACAAATAGTGTATTATCAAACTCGATCAACTAGATCTGTGTAACTACCGTATTAGACGTAATACGCGCCCAGGGCGCTCTCAAATTAGTAATATGGGGCTCTTATTAGAATGGTATTTTGTTGAGAGAAAAAAAAACAGAGTTGAAAGATAAATTTCGTGGTTTATGCTGACAGCCTGAAAATGTTTGTATACGCCAGATATATTTCTCCAGAATTTAATTGCCCATAATTAATTGTGTATATAACACACGAGTGCGTATTATACACGAATAAATAAGTCTTGTATACATTGATCAATCGGAAGGGGTGCTAATTGGGATTGTTCACTAGCCAATATATTAACAAATATCGCCGTGGGCACTTATTAGAGCGGGGCGCTTATTACGTCGAATACGGTATTCGTTTTGTTGATCCTTTAAACAGCACGCACGAAACAGGTGAGTTAAACAAGATCTTTGCGAAAAAGAGCGGTATATATAGCGCAATGCACATTATTAGTAAACTGCCGAATCGTATTCAAATACGGATATAAGTGAGTGAGTGAGTTAAAATTTAACGTCGCATCCCTCTTTATTTCGATTATATTTTCGTAATTTCAATTATTTTCTCGTTACTTCGAGTTTTTTCTTGTAATTTTGATTATTTTCTCGTTATTTCAAGTTTATTTCAAAAACCCGAAACTGCGATTATTTTCCCGTCACTTTATTTTCTCGTTATTTCAGTTATAGTCAAAGGGACGGGAGGTCCATACAAGTTAATGCTTGTTTCGAAGACAAATAGGCTGAATTTTCCAAAATCACACAAGGGAGTGCTGAAAACATGACTCCGCACTCTTTGCAATGGTATTCATCAAAGTTGACATTTTATGATAAAAGGGCATCTGAGATAAGAATCTTTAGTTAATGGATTATCAGTTAAACCAGGGGTTTACAAAGCGATCTTAGCTCTAAGGTGATCGTAAGCCCCATACCTTAACATAAACTTACGACAGTCGTATCGCTACGGTTGTTTTGTACAAGGGGGCACGGGTGGCCCAGTCGTCGAAGGTGCCGCGATTCGCTGTGCAGAGTTGCGTCCCTTGGACACGCCAGAAACCTATGATTGTGGGTTCGAATCCCGGTTCGCCCCGATTATGTTTCTAGGTTTGTCAGCACCATACCCGTGCTCGTGGGTTTCAACGAAGTGGTAAACGTCTAAGAACTGCGTCACTTGGGGCTTTCCTCCCACATTAAGCTGACACACCGTCATATGACTGGAATACTGTTAAAAGCGGCGTTAAACACAACTCACTGTACTGTACTGTTTTGAACAACGGCACCCATTTCGGTCCGAATCTGTAAAGGAGAGCACAAGAAACGTCTGTCAATAAATGTCAATCCAAAGAGGTACTAGTATTTTACAGCAGCTTCCATTTACAATAATTATCCCTAAGCGTCCCTTATATCACTTGCAGTGAGGATGTCTGCAAAAGAAGTCTAATTAGGCCAGCACAATATATAAACATATTTAGTATATCTGTAACTATGATAATTAATTCCATATTTAAAATATTTTGAGATTTTTCTTGTGTATCGAAATGTCGACACGATCGTAAAAAATTCAAATATATTTCAACTATCCGCATTTGCATATCTTGAAGCCATAAATCATTACTGACCCATTTGATTGTTGCCTGCTGTTAGAGTTATGATCCTGTTCATATCACATGGCGTGAAGATCCGGGGTAGAATAGGTCTTCAGCAACCCATGCTTGCCGTAAAAGGCGACTATGCCTGTCGTAAAAGGCGACTAACGGGATCGGGTGGTCAGGCTCGCTGACTTGGTTGATGCATGTCATCGATCCCAATAGCGTGGATCGATGCTCATGATATCAATCACTGGATTGTCTGGTCCAGACTCGATTATTTACAGACCGCCGTCATATAGCTGGAATATTGCTGAGTGCGGCGTAAAACAACAAACCAACCAACGAACCAATCATATCACTTAAATTGTTATTAAAGCTGTTTACTTTAGTTTACCTGTTTACAAAGGTGCATTTATGTTCAGCAGACATCTTGAAGATCCGGAGTAGAATAGGTTCTCAGCAATCCATGCTTGCCGTAAAAGGCGACTAACGGGATCGGGTGGTCAGGCTCGCTAACTTGGTTGATACATGTCATCGATCCCAATGGATCGATGCTCATAATGTCAATTACTGGATTGTCTGGTTCAGACTCGATTATTTACAGACCGCCGTCAAATAGCTGGAATATTGCTGAGTGCGGCGTAAAACAACAAACAAACAAACAATTGCGTGGATCGATGCTCATGATATTAATCACTGGATTGTCTGGTCCACACTCGATCATTTTACAGACCGCCGTCATATAGCTCGAATATTGCTGAGTGCGGCGTTAAACAACCAACCAACCAACATTAGTGATGTGCCTTGGCATTTGGTCACCATCAAACCAAACACTAAATTTGGTTCCATATTCTATAACTTCCAGCTATGTCCCTCTGGTGCATATTAAACATGAGTTGGTGTGGGAGCATTTCTCCAAACACTTGATGAGAAGTTTGTTCGTTTGATCTTCTCAACCAATGTTCTTTTGGACGGCGGAAACGCATAAGTATAATGCAAAAAGAAGTGTTGAGTCATTACTTCAGCGCCCCCTAGTGTGAAAATTGTGCCTCAGATTTTTGTGAGACAAACAGTTTTGTAAAAAGCAGCCTTTTTTGTCTTCGAAACTAGCATTAACTTGTATGGACATCTTTGGTGAAATAAATTGTTCCCATCTCTTGGACTATTAATATGTTCTCGAATATATTTTTCTCTTTACTTCGATTATTTTCTCGTTATTTTAAGTTCATTTAAAAAAACACGAAATTTCGAGTTTTTTTCTTGTTACTTCGATTATTTTCTCGTAATTTCAAGTTCAATTTAAGCCAACGAGTATGTAAACAACTCGTCCCTCTCTCAAATGTCATTCTGTACCTGGCGTGATTATATTGTGGTTATATTTTCATTGCTAGTATTAAACACTACAAATTGTCACACTGACATTTTTATGACCCTAGAATCCCCACACAGTTGTTACTTGAATCGTCGATAGTACATAGAGCCCCACTCGTAACAACCATACCTGTAGGTGGTTTTACAGCCTTTTGTCCATGCTGCATTCCAACGTCTACCTCGTACAAACAACTAGAACACAGTCATAAGTATAGCCAGTATTTCTTTACCCCTGTATATTTTAGGTGTAGCTCTGATATTACCATTGAAATTAAAGCACCCATTGAGATATGTTCACATAACAGCCCAAAATTCCGCACTACCAAAAATGTACGATTGTACATAATAGGTCAGTCTCTGTTATTAACTGGGAGAATTCCAGTTAACCTGTGACTGTAATCAGTATAAAAACAGGTTTCCGGATGACTAACGGGATCGGGTGGTCAGGCTCTACCCCGTGAAGATTCCGGGGTAGAATAGGGCTTCAGCAACCCATGCTTGTCGTAAAAGGCGACTAGCGGGATCGGGTGGTCAGGCTCGCTGACTTGGTTCATGCATGTCATCGTATCTCAATTGCGTGGATCGATGCTCATGATGTTAGTCATTGGATTGTCTGGTCCAGACTCGGTTATTTATAAGCCGCCGTCATATAGCTTGAATATTGCTGAGTGCGGCGTTAAACAACAAACAACTGCTATAATCAGGGTGTACCTGGATTCGAACCCACGATCGTAGGTTTCTGGTTCTCCTCACTCTGCACAGCTAATTGCGGAGCCATAGTCGACTGAGCCACCCGTACACCCCTGTTCGGCTGTCACCCCGACTTTTAGCAGGGTGTAGAATTATAGACTCTTTTCATAGACTCCCTGGTTTAAGCGTCCTTGGTTACCCCCGATTGCTCAACAACTAAACATAACCTAACGCTCCAGTACGGGGTTAGTCATCAGCTGCAACATGGGTGCGCTCAGTTATATAACCGGACTTGCAGTGTTTTTCCTGGAAGGTATTTAATACATGTCATCTTCAGTTGTATTATCCAGTTATTAATTAATATTTAGTGTTGGGGAGAACTGAAAGTATATGCCTAGCACCGATCAGACGTAAGATAAATATTTTGTTACATATGTCTCTTAGCAATTTCATTATTTGGCAACATGTCAATGCCGTGGTTATCAATATGCGGGTTGATAGTTTATTCTCACTTAGTCCATCTAATGTAATGCTATTATGGTGTATATACATTTTATACTGCTGAGTACTTACATGCGTAAGTTATGTTTTAAGTCCATGTTCCCATCTTATACACCGTTTGTTTGTATGTTGTTTAACGCCGCACTCAGCAATATTACGCCGCACTCAGCAATATTCCAGATACATGACGGCAGTCTGTAAATGATCGAGTCGGTTTATGTGTATGCACTGTGTGTGTGTGTGCCTGTGTCTATCTGTGTGTGCAGTGTGTGCGTCTGTGGATGACTGCGTGTACTAGCTACTCCGGACTTATCCGGTTTTATGGTGCTAGCCTATGATGTCATACTACAGTTTAACATTAATGCGTCTTCAGCAACCCATACTTGCCGTAAAAGGCGACTATGCTTGTCGTAAAAGGCGACTAACGGGATCGGGTGGTCAGGCTCGCTGACTTGGTTGATACATGTCATCGATCCTAATTGCGTGGAGACCCGTGAAGATTCCGGAGTAGAATAGGTCTTCAGCAACCCATACTTGCCGTAAAAGGTGACTATGCTTGTCGTTAAAGGCGACTAACGGGATCGGGTGGTCAGGCTCGCTGACTTGGTTGATGCATGTCATCGTATCCCAATTGCGTAGATCGATGCTCATGATATCAATCACTGGATTGTCTGGTCCAGACTCGATTATTTACAGACCGCCGTCATATAGCTGGAATATTGCTGAGTGCGGCGTTAAACAACAAACAACAATAAACTAACATTTATACACCATGGTGTGGTATGACGTGGAATCGAAACACTGACCTTCCATTCTCCTGGCGGACGTTGTCCACAGAAGTGGTTGACAGACCGTAAATTAACAAGCTTTGAAATACTATTTCACGATGAAGTTAATATTTCAGGCGTAGGCGCCTACCGATGTAAGACAAGCAACTACCCAGGATACAAGTACTGTGCTCACGGCTGTTGTGGCAGCGGCTACGGAGTATATTGCTGCGCCTACGTGTAGGTAGACAGGGGAGTGGGAGCGGAGGTTCACGTCGGATCAGCAGTAGTTTGGCCGTTAAAGAGACGAGCGGTAGAACGTAATTTATGAGTATCTGTTTAGGCACCGTGTAGGCGAATGGTTAACAAAGCTTTGATGCGAGGCACCAACCGCATTGATAGTCCAAATATATTTACAATAAAATAATTTCCCCCAAACGTTTAAAACAATACAGACATGTTTAAAACAATATCGGTTTTAATTCATTCCCTATTTTACATGTTACGCCATGCGTTTGACTACAATGCGATTACCTCCCTTACATTCCGAATGTGATAGGCAAAGTATTTTCATAGTAAATAAACGTTGGAGTCTGTTCAGGCCGGAAGTAGGTCAAACTGCCCTCAGCTTGTAATGAACAGGCACGTAGGCGCTGTCTGCCTTTGATAATAGCGGTAAATATTCTAACAACTGCATTTTAGGGTTTAAATAAAACTACAGAACAGAACGATTATATCAGAGCTCTTAGCCATGTAGTCTTGGACCCCTAATTAATCATATAGAATGTCCCAAACACTTGCTTGATTGGCCCTAGTAGAATATAACGTACATGAGTCCAAACTGCTGATTCTGCAGGAACATATCCCTCATCATAGGATGTAGTGTGGCTGCTGTCTTCTCCATCGCTATCGCCATTGGTGTCGTCGTTGCCTGCTTCAAGTCATCAAGTAGACAAGGCCGAGCGGTCGGCGGTCACCCTGTCGGCGCAACAACTGTGATGGCAACTACAGGTTTCAAAAATTACATCCAATTCCAAAATATATCTCATTGTAGTGCTCTTGAGAAACCATATTCTTCAGCTTGATCACCATTTCGGCTTATAGCCATAGAATTATAATATATTTTAAAGAAAAACGTAAACGCATATTATACAGAAGTACAATTTTTCACTTTTTTCGTTTTAGCTTCTTCCCAACATGGCGGATGTACAGCCCAGATGGTCCAGCCTCCAGCCTACAACGATGCCATCACTCAAGGCCCCGCCTCATACCCCCCTCCCCCGCCATACAGCTATCCACAGCCTGTATACCCTAAATAGAAAATTTGTTTGCCGTCTCAGAATGATATACCGGAAGTCATCACCGCTGATCAATATGTCCTTATGCCATTCATTTTACGCTTCCTGTATTTAGTATCTGACGTAACGCATTTATTAAATTACAAAGTGGCATACTCAAATCTAAATACCGAAATCGATTATGTAATGACATGATTTGTATAAGAACTATTCCAAGGCAATATTTTTCTGACTTTCCTTTTAACTGCTGCCTTTGTTTACTCGCAGATAGTATGATTTTTATTTTGTTTGTTGTTTAACGACACACTCAGCAATATTCCAGCTATATGACGGGGTCTGTTTTGTAAATAATCGAGTCTAGACCGGACAATCAAGTGGTTGACATTATGAGCATCGATCCACACAATTGGGATACGATGACATGCCATTTAGTGAACCTGACCACCCGATCCAGTTGGTCACCTCTTACGACAAGTACAGTCGCCTTTTATGACAAGCATAGGCTGCTGAAGACCCATTCTACCCCGGATCCTTGTGATCATCTAGAGGACACACGCCTATTCCTTATGTTTCGTACTCGTGAAGATCCGGGGTAGAATAGGTCTTCAGCAACCCATGCTTGCCGTAAAAGGCGACTTTGCTTGTCGTAGGAGGCGACTAACGGGATCGGGTGGTCAGGCTCGCTGACTTGATTGATGAATGTCATCGTATCCCAATTGCGTGGATTGATGCTCATGATATTAATCACTGGATTGTCTGGTCCAGACTCGAATATTTACAGACCGCCGTCATATAGCTGGAATATTGCTGAGTGCGGCGCTAAACAACAAACAAACAAACATTATGTTTCGGCGGTATGTAGATATTCCCTAAAGAAGTTCTGAATACAGTCGAACCTTGTTGTATCGAACTTGAATGTGTCGAATTCACGCTTGGCTCGAACCCATTTGGCAGTCCATAGTATCTAAATTAAGCATAATAATCCCCTGATGTCTTGAACCCTCGAACCTTTTTCCAGGTCGCCACGAATTCGACACAACGAGGTTCTACTGTATATGAAAATCAGGAGAGGAAACATATTTCCAAGCGTGTATATATATATATATATTACGGAATGAGCATCCAGGATCTTTGCGAATCTTGCAAAATAATGCATATCTGAAGTCTTGATATCATATTGTGCTACAGCCAACATCATAATGTTATGTTTGTTTTGTTTGTTGTTTGTTGTTTAACGCCGCACTCAGCAATATTCCAGCTATATGACGGCGGTCTGTAAAATAATCGAGTCTGGACCAGACGATCCAGTGATTTACATCATGAGCATCGATCCACGCAATTGGGATCGATGACATGTATCAACCAAGTCAGCGAGACTGACCACCCGATCCCGTTAGTCGCCTTTTACGACAAGCATAGTCGCCTTTTACGGCAAGTATTGGTTGCTGAAGACCTATTCTATCCCGGAATCTTCACGGGTCCATAATGTTATGTAAGCTTACATGGTCCTTGGACAGTCGTTTTCCTCAACGAAACAGACGACCACAGGGGTACATTAACCATTTAGTACACTCGTGAAAATGAGTAATATTCATTTGCTAACGTTTAAGACTTTCCTTTCTTCCTCAAATTTGCGAATTTCTATAATAATAAGTAGTTAAGTATTAGAGGCAAGATTTGCAGGACGGCCCCTGAAAAATTAATCATTGACGTCCCCCCCCCCCCCCCCCCCCCACACACACCTTAGCCAAACACCCGGGGGGGGGGGGGGGGGGGGGGGGGGGGGGGATGTACGCTTTTGAACTACCCTTGACCTGGCTAGAACATGCATGTTAGCCACGGAGGGACATCTTAAAAAGGGGTGAGAGATGTCAGGTATATTCTTAGAACTCAGGGATATTCTTGGGATACAAGTCCAAAAAGGAGACACACGTTGTAACTGTGTCTCAATCAAATCGTTGTGGACCCACAGACCGACTTGTGTCGTATACAGAAGGAGTCAAGAAGAAGTATCCTCCAGATCCTAAACATCTACGGCGGATATAATATAATGTTCAATAGTATCGACTGATATATTAACAATGATGTATTTTGCAGTTTTGTACTGATGCTTCGTGACTGATGTAATATTAAGAAAATAAAGTACCAATTGACTTTGTTCATTGTACAATGGTGATTGATGTAATGAGGCGAGAACGTGAAGCTCTCACGAACTGAAACACCACGGCGCCCGTTTGTCACAGGATCAAGGGAGTCCATGTGATTCCTGGTTAGAATTTTGGTCTTCAGCAACGCATGCTTGTCCGTAAGAGGCGACTAACGGGATCGGGTGGTCAGGCTCGCTGACTTGGTTGATGCATGTCATCGTATCCCAATTGCGTAGATCGATGCTCATGATGACAATCACTGGATTGGCTGGTCGAGACTCGACTATTAACAGACCGCCGTCATGTAGCTGGAATATTGCTGAGTTAAACAACAAACAAACAAACAACAAAAGATCGAGAGAAGTGTATGTGATAGATTCAATCCAACAAGAGTGCATGTATTAATACATTTACCAAACAATCCATGTAAACATTAATCTAGCTGTAGAATACGAGCCCCGAGTGATTCTTGTCTGCTCCATATTGAGAGGATCCTCATCGAAATAATTACATTTCACGACGTCACGTTAGAATAATGTCATTATGACACGTTGGCCAGTTGGCTAGACTAGGCGTATCACAGATAGTATTCAATAGGGATTAACTGAATTATAGCCAAGTATGTACCAGGGAGTATTTTAACCTTAAGGTGATTCAACATACATTTGAGTTAACATAAAAATGTTGACTGTTATAACACATGAACACACAATGACATGTAGAAATTGGTCAAATGTAACAAATGTTATAATTGGGATAACACCTTCAGAGTAAAGTACAGATTCTCGTCCATTTTGGGGTTTCCGGGATTCGAACCCACACTGCCAGAGTGAGGCACCTAATCGCCAGCACACAACATAACACAGTTGTCTAAAGAAATCCTGAAGTGCAAATACACATTTTTCATCACATATTTTCCAATATAAGTTTGAAAAAATGTACCTATTTCTTCATGACAGTATGTCAGTTATATCAGATATCAGACTTGATATGGATCCAAAATAGAATTGTCACAGTTCAACGCTCACAAATGCTTAATGAACTACTTTGCTGTACAATGTGTGCGTGTTTGTACGCCCTGGTCGACAACATCAGAACCCTTGCTTGTTATTGTGGCTATGTAATTATGCGGGTTTAAATATATTATATATGAGTGTGTGTGTGTGTGTGTGTGTGTGTGTGTGTGTGTGTGTGTGTGTGTGTGTGTGTGTTTTCTGGTGAAAAAGTTCTAAGCCTGACTAACTTTCAACTATGGACCATAACTAAGTGAACTAGTCAATGTAGTACATTGTTCAACTAGTTCATTTGGTCTGTAGAGGCCGTTTGTATATTAGTGACAGCCAGTTGAACGTGATAGGGGTCCAAATGGACACATAGATGGAAAAGAACGTGTACCGAGTAGTCATCAAGGTTTTGACATTAGAGAAAAGTACTCCCCAAGACATTCATGACAACGTCACAAGTGTATGGGGATAATTGCCCTAGCTATTCCACTGTTAAACGTTGGGCAGCTATGTTTAAGGCTGGGGGAACAAGCCTTGGTGATGACGCTAGTTCTGGACGTCCCTCAACTTCCATCATTTAAGTTGTGCAAGTTGTGCATAAATCATAACAAAACAATCCATTAAACATCAAAATTTAATTATTGAAAGCGAACTATATCAACGCGGAGAGTATAGTGACGTCATCCGTTCCAAACATTCCATTTGGAGTGACATCCCTTGGTTTTACAAACTGCAGAAACTGGCGGCTACCGCAATGTCATTCGCTTGAAATACAAATTGCACCCAGTAAAGTTAGCATTGGAATTGGAAAGAAATCCAGACCCGGCTCATGCTGAAAATGGATAAATGTTAACGTTCTGTGAACCTTTGGTGTGTGTTTGAGTCATACTACGACTGCTGATGACGGGGATTACTGCTGGAGGCGGCGCGGTTGGATTTACTGAGGCACGATAGTGTGGAGCTCGGTGATTTCTTTTGGTAAGTCGAGCATTCACTGCTATAGCTTCGAATGGACGCTTCATTTCGATGACCCGACATATACATGATCTGTCTGACTTCAAAGCCTGCATCATTCATAGCCTAAATCGATGTCGCTCTCAGTTTACCCTAATTATTTTTAATGTTATTTTTAAAAATTGAGGAATTCCCCTTAAGTAGTTCTGTATGTCTCCTCGCGATTGACAACATAATCACGTGACACGGTTTGGTTTGATTGTTGTTTAACGCCGCACTCAGCAATATTCCAGCTATATGACGGCGGTTTGTAAATAATCGAGTCTGGACCAGACACCAGCGATTGATATCATGAGCTTCGATCCACGCAATTGGGATCGATGACATGCATCAACCAAGTCAGCGAGCCTGACCACCCGATCGCGTTAGTCGCCTCCTACGACAAGCATAGTCGCCTTTTACGGCAAGCATGGGTTGCTGAAGACCAATTCTACCCCGGATCTTCACGGGTTTAAAATATCTGTTGAAAAACACATATACAGTGTCACCATCAGCCATATTAGTACATTTTAGCAGGACCTCCACATTTAATTAATGTTCTTATAAGGCTACATGAATCATTCATTCATCCATATGAACATAGTTTAACTTTTCCAAACGCTTTGAAACAGTTTTCCTCCTTGTAAATTTATGCAGATCACATGGTCCGAACAAATATTGACAGAAATTCCTTCCCCTTCCCTGTTAAACATAATAAAGCATAATAAATCTTCCGTGAGCGCTATTGCATTACCTGGCAGTTATGTATGTGCTTTCGGTGTTGGCCAATGATATGCAGGAAACTGATAGGTGTTTTTAATAATACGCAAGTTTATGGGTTACAGTTGGACAATTGCCAAAGCAAGAGAGTTGTAATGTATATATTTGTCAAGACCGAAAATAATCATTTGGTATTAATTTTTTGGCTCATGCTTTATGTATGTTTGACACAATAAATGCATGTCTTTGATAAGCATTATGAAACTGGATAGCAACTTCTTTATTATTATCAATACTGTGAAAGTAGAGTAATCGCTCTTTGAACTCAAGTACTTGCACCCATTATAATCATTTGAGAGACCAGTTTCTTTCTTTCACAACTTGATGCATGTCATCGTATCCCAATTGCGTGGATCGATGCTCATGATATCAATCACT